GTACTACATGCTAGCCCCTCGACGAGTAGGGCTTGGCACTTCCGCCATTTTCTCATCCCCAAGGCACATGCACGGAGAAGATACGCGGCTAAAATTTTGGATTCGAACTGTTTGACGAATGGCCACAACGAATGTCACAACTGAAAAACTCGAACCCCAGTAACAGTATGCAAAATACAAATTGTTTCACGGACGAACAGGCTGTTATGTCACACATGATCCTTCCTCTTTCCTCTCCCTGGTCAATTATCGATGACCACAGCATGAATGTAACAGACGTCCACCAAACTAGTGTCAAGTCACTCAAAAGTCTCTTCTCTTCTGCTTCCAGTCAAATCCAGCTAACAGATTCAAAGCAGAAGATCCAGATTTTCTTTTTGGCTTGCCCTTTTAAAGTGGGTCCCCCTTAATCCATGCAACCTAACAACCCCACGTATGTTATTGTGCTTAATTATGGGCTGTTTGGCAAGTATTTCTAAGTGGATCTTTCAACATTCCGGTAGATGAGAATTGAGAAGACGCTGGACTTTTGGGGTCAGGGGAGGCTATTTTAGCATGGAGAGATCAAGAGTTTCATTTTAAGCAAGGTTTTTAAAACTGGACCGGATAGGGAATCATTTTGAGTCTCGTTTTTGGGTCAAACGGTCCAACCATCCGGCCATTAAAAAATAAAAAATGGTCAAAACCATTGTCTAGATCAACAGTTTGATGATTTGACCACCCGGGTCAACAGTTTTCTAATCAAATCAATTATTTTAGGCCAAAAGTGGTTTTGAGGTGAAATGAAACCAGTCCGGTCAGATGATCCGTTTCCAGTTTTTCCAGTTTGGTCCAGTTTTAAAAACATTGGTTTTAAGCTTCCAAATTTTTGGCTTTCACGATCTTTTTCTGCACGCTCATCCTCAAGTCTTTCGGTCTATGCAATACCAAACTATAAATGACAAGAGGCAGGTTATGGGTGGGAAAAATACTCCCCACTCCTTACGACGACTTTGAAATAAATCCCAAATCCTCAATCCCGGATAGAGATGGATTCCCGTCAGAGACTTGAATCCTCAAAATTCTTAAATTAAAAGAAAATAGATTTACTTAAAATAAACATTTTTTTAATATAAAACCTCTTAAGTATATCTTGATATATAATTTAAATAATATAAATAGTATTATATACATATATATTTAATATATAAATATATGTTTAATACATATAATCGGGATTAGGGCAAGCAAGAATTCACTCCTCATCCCCATCCCATCCGCACTTATCCCCACCAAGGCAATTTCCATCCCTAACCCTTGGTAGAGGGGTCGAGTATCCAATGGGGGTGGGAAAATTACCATGCTTATACGTTATATCAAATAGGAAAAGACCAATGTTTTCAACCTGCATTGACCCGATTGGTCGAACCATCACCCGGTCAGAATTCCGAGTTTGTTCAATCAAGACCTGTTAGATGATAAAAAATCATTGACTTGGTCAAGAACCATTCGACCCGGTCGGTTTGACCCGATGACTAGGTCACGGGTTGCACACTCAATGCATGCAAAACTTTTGGAAGCCATAAGTTTGCGCACTTCAATGTTCGATTGGGATGATTTTTTTTTTTTGGAAACTTTTCGAGATCTATGCATCCCAAGGGCCAAAGGTGCCTTACCCCACTATTTTCGCAAAAAAAAAAAGAAACTTTTTGACCTCAAATTGCAATTTTTAATATTTTTATAAATAAAAAATTTAAAACTAAATTAAAAACATATATTAAATATATTATTTACATATAACATATCTAAAACATATTTATACATTACTAATATATATATATATATATAGCCTGGTCTGAACTGTTCGACCCCACTGGTCGAACCGATGACCTACGACCCATAGCCAAAAACGGTTTGGCCTATGGGTTGGTTTTTAAAACATGGGAAAATACCCTTTTTTTGTGTTAACATGCCAAACGCCCCCTTAACTTTATCCCATATCAACAACTCAAAATTTGTTATTTATTTGACCATGATAGTGTACGTAGTACCATTCACCAGTACTATGTAGGAGAGAAATCTAGTGAACACAATGGCAGAATCCCAAGGCCCACATTAAAGAAAAAGGAAAACTTCACCGATGCAACGGGGTCCACTCGTATTGGGGCCTTGGGGGCCTCCTTTGGTTTGTATACTCTGAAGATTTGACTTTGTTTTTTTAGAAGGTGGACTGGTGGGCCCAGCCATTCATTTCCCGCAGATCAAGGGCAATTTGGTCAATTTAAATGGTGGGAACCTCGAGTCGGGAGCCGGTCGATGTGCACGATTACAACGCTGCGTAGGATAGTAGGGGGTAGGGGGTTTTTAGCTTTCGCGCGCTCCCATGGATGGTGGGCGATTTCTTTTTAATTCTCTTTCTCCAATCTTCTTCCCATATTTCGATGGTGTGGGTGTGTGCACTACGCCTCCTTCTGTTTTGCTTTTTTTATTGTTTTTTTTTAATTAAATTCTTTCTTTTTTCTAAAATTATTAACGGCGTTTGTCCCCCTCCGTTAGAGGAGATGCYGCCTTGCGCATTTTGCTATTGAGCAGTGGGCCCCGGTCACATGGAGCATCTACTGAGAAGATGAGAAGACCAAACAAGGAAACCAGTGGGGCCTACGTTTTCATTTCCTCTCGGCCTCCGCACACATTTGGATCTTTGTGGGGGATCCTTTAATTTACCAAAAGCCCCTCATCTCCTATGGATTTACATCCACGACCCCGGAGGCGGAAAGGCGGAAAGTAGTTTTAGAATTTAGACAAGTCCGGTCGGGTCGGTTCGGTTCGGATGCCCATCGATCACAGTTGGGTGGGGTCCAGAGGGCGCCATATAAGGGATTAAGGGGGGGTCGATCCCATATTCCCATCCCAGACCGGCAGACCCCATTTTGCTTGCAAAGGCCAGGGTGCTCAAGTAAAGGAAAATATGCCGGAAAAGAGTAACATCTGTCATCATTGAACGAGTAAAGAGGTGGGGCCAATTGGTATTTTGGGTTCAATCTCGGTCAAATTAAGAGGCCGAAGAAGAATGAAAAGAAAGAAAAGAAACTCTGTCATCAGCTTCATGATTCAATGCTCTACCACTTTTCTTTCTTTCTCTCTCTCTCTCATGTTTGCTGCATGCTTAAAGCTCAATTCTGGAGACCACTTTAGCTCAAATTCCCAGGATTTCCTCCTCAAAGTCGGCTTACAATTATATGCCAAAACAGTAATTAACTCATTATCACAGTCAATAACACACAAAGCAATATTAGATAATAAATACCCCTTCACCTTCACTGACCTCACGGTATCAAAGTTTATTTGACCAAGTGGCCGGGGTTGAATCTCTTACCCCATTATAATTAATTAAGGCTCTATTTTGTTTATCTTATTTAATGGAGGTAAGTTGGTGTAAAAGTAAATTGATTAGGATCCCTAGTCACTATATTAAGTTTTATGATAATTGAATATATTAGAGAACAGCACTATTTATTCAAGCAAATTTTATTTAGAAAGCACTCATCTATTCTCTTCTTTTGTGTGATGGAGTGAGTTTGAGAATAAATACCCATTTAGGAACATCACCTAACAATCGCATTATGTGAATTAAAGACTAACCAAATATAACCGTTGAGTGTTAACACCACCCTCTCTAGTCTCTTCTCTAGGCAATGGCGCTGCACATGTGGCCAGACACATACAAACTCTCAAAGTACACTTACTCGGGAGCTACCAACATTAAATGATACCCAAAGGCCTCAGAAAAAAAGCCAGCATCAAAGCAATTCATACCCTCAAGTCTGAACTCAACCATCTTTCCTTTTAAATCCCTAAAATCAAATATGTAAGCAACCAAATATGAGATGGATCATCATGGATGTACTACTACTACTACCCCTACAGTACCTCTTTACTAGTTACTACTTACTACTACCTCGTGGGCTGTTCTCTCATCTCGGACCTTGGACCTGGATCTGGATACTCTCATTCTCTTTTTGTGTTGAGTTAAATGGGGGAGAGAGAGAGAATCTGATACCAAACTTCATCAAGGCCTAATAAGCCCTCCTCTTTCTATTTCCAGCATGGTCACTGCCGGCTCCACTCTCGCATCATTGGACGCGTGGCTCTGGCTCAGCAGCATCACTTCACTTGCCCCACGCTGCACGAAACTAATCTGAGCTTAACTGGGCACGTGACTGGCAAACAATGTTGATGTTGGGACTTGGGAGTATGGGGGTCCCACTCCCACACCCCCCCTAGCCGTCCGATTGAATAGAGATAGATGGCTTTGATTGCCCACATCATGGTCTGTGTGTTTGTGGCTTTGTGCGTCTGAGTGTGAGAAACAGAAACCCTAAAAATATCCATCTCATCGGTTAAGGGGTCGTTTGCTTTGCTTTGATTTAGGACATATTCTAGCGTTACCAACTTGGATTCTAGTGAAGAGTGTTTAGGTTTGGCAATTACCAAACAAGGAAAAAGGAACAAACCTCTACACTATTTATTTATTTGCCACATGCTACAGGCCTAGCAGCCTACTACTGGCTACAGCCTACGGTTACAGCTACAGGGACTCTGAATAATAGAGCTGATATGGTCAAATAAAATATGAGGCCCATCCATTAATTTAACAATCTGTGGATGTGGGCCATCATCCATATCACCAAACGCCACAATTTAGGTGGGTGGGCCCGACGCTAGAGGCCCAAACATATAAACTAACAAACTTCACGGAATGATGGAACTCATACTCATCGTCTCAGCCCCACCCCCATCACACACTTCACTATATATCTAATCCATCTACCAATCAACCCCACATAGCATATAGTCTGAGTCTCTCATGGAGAATGCAGGACATGCGCTTTCACAGTTATCATTTACTTCCATCTGCACCAAACAAACATTGACAGAATAGCTAAAAGCCTAAATTTGCAGAGAGATAGAGAGTGAGAGAAGAAAGAAATAGAAAATATTGAATGAAGAGATTAGAGAAGTTCAATTGCAAAGGATAGGCTTTCTGCCCATCGTCATTCTTCTTATTTTTTTTTCCAACTTATAAACACTTATAAACACATCACATAAGAAACTACAAGTCTACAACCACCATCAGTCCTCCCTGCATCTTCCGTCTTATAGAGTCATAAGAAGCTTTTCCTCCCCCAAATCACTCCAGTCTCCTGAGCTGAGATCTCTGCAAGTCTGAAATCTGAATACTCCTACATCTATATATCTATATATAGAGAGACCTATATACTATCATAACCGAAAACCTAACTTCAACCTAAGAAGGAAGAAGATATTAATAATGTAAAGAAAATTAGAACTGAAATTGACCCATTTCTTTATGTGTATTAAGCATCAGACCTTCTCTAGTCTTTTACTATATGGTTGAAGATGAAGAAGAAGAAGAAGCAAGCACCACCACCACAGTAGGCTCTCAACAAACAAAAACAAAACAGAACTAAACACCCCGGCGGCCCGGCCGGGGTGCAATTCACATGACATTGCAACTGCTGGTGTTCTCGTCGCTGAAGAAGTGAGTGTAGGGGTCAGCGGCCGGCGGCGGAGGATAGTAAGCAACTGCCGGTGGGGGCCTGGCGTACATCATGGGATGGAATCTTTCGTTCCCATTTGCACGTTGCTGATTCATCATCATTGCTGCCAAGTACTGCTGTTGTTGGTATGGGTTCCCGGGGAGCATCTGGGGTCCCGCCCCTTGGAAGTATCCGCCACCACCGGCATTCATTGCTGCCGCCGGTAGGCCTTGAACTGCCGGAATGTTACCCATCTGGTGGCCCATGGGCATATGTCCCATTTGACCCATATTCCCACCACCAACGCGAGTAACATCAATGTCATGGAAGCCATGATGCATGTTGTTCATTACTTGGACGCCCTCGTTCTTCCCTCCGCCCTTCTTGGCCCCGGCAGGGTTGTTATTACTATTCCCACCACCACCACCGCCACCATTGCCATTATTGCCGGCCTTGTTGTTTCCGAAACCGCCATGGTTACCATTTTTAGCATCTTGTGGAGGCGCACAACCATTTTTACCTCCACTCTTAGCAGCTCCACCAACTTGATGATTTTGATTTCCTCCATTGTTGGGATTGTTGTTTCCACCAACGCCTCCCTTCTTCCCCCCATTTCCATTCTTCCCGTCATTGTTTCCTCCGGCACCCTTTCCTTGTTGTTGTACATTAACGTCCCCACCACCACCTTTCTTGCCGTTGCCGCAACCACCATTAACACCTCCGCCTCCTCCCTTCTTATCATTCATGGCTTGGGGATTCATCAGGTGTGGTGGACAAGCCATCATTCCATTTCCTGTCATCATCCCATTGACCCCATGTGGCCCAAGGCCATTACCCATCATGGGTTTCTTGTTCGGAGGATGATTTAAATCATCAAAATCATCATCGAACTCGTCATCATCAAAATCATCGTCGTCGAAATCATCAAACTCATCATCATCACTAAAGTCGTCATCCTCAGGTAGGTTGAACTTCACAGATTTCTGGTCCTTCAAGGGCATCTTTAGGTCTTTGAACTGGGGGGGCAGCTTCAGATCATTCAACCCTTTCATCTGGAGCTGGTTCTGTAACTGTGGTGGTTGCTGGCCACCCTTTTGCTGCTCCTTTCCGCCCTTCTGGTTCTTGTTATCTTTCCCACCTTTACCATTCTCAATCTGCATGTGTTTGAACTGAATGTTGAGATGGTTCTGGTTATTGCTGGGAGCCTTTGGAGCCCCCCAGAGCTCTGCATGCTTCCCTGATTTCGCAAGCTTCTTTATCAGCGTTGCTGGGTCAACATTACCCGAAACTGTTACCTTCCCCTGCTCAGAGTCTATAGTGGTAGTGTATACCCCTGACCAGGAAAAAGGAAAACGAACAGAAAATCAACAAAAATGGCTTAAAATACCAACAAATTCCAGTTAACCCACTTGAGAAATTATAATGCTGGGAAAATAAAATGTTTCTACACAAAAACCAGTATTTTTTTTTTTTTGTAAAAGAAAAAAGTTTCCGGAAATGAAAATATACCATCAATTTTCTGCAACAGTTTCTTCACCTTCCGCTTACATCCATCACAGTGAATGTTCACTTTGAGAACACAAGTCTGCAAGGACAAGTAACCCAGGCACAGAGAAACCGAGAGAGCAAAAAGAATATCAGGGACAAATTTCGATTTGCAAATGGAAGAAGATAAATCGCAAAGAGATGAAAGAAAGCAGAAACAACACAAGGAAAAGGACACCTGGATCTTGAGCTTAAGACAAGCAAAGCCTAGTAAAAAGAAGAAAGAAAGAAGAGGAAATGGCGTACCTGAATCTTCAAGAACTCTTCTTTACTCATCCCTTGCATTCAAAAGAAACTAGAAAATTATACACAATGGGAAACGAAAGAAAGCTGATGGATCTCAGTAACCAAATAGCTGAAAAAGAGGAGATAAATTATACAAAACCCAGATAGTTTTTTTCCCCAGCTATCCTCTTCTGGGAGTTTTTCCAACCAAACACAGGGAACAAGAGAAAACAAATTGTTTCTGAGCACAGGAGAAGAAAGACAACAATGTTCAATCTTAAATGGAGAGAGAGAGAGAGAGAGAGAGAGTTCAGAGGARGTCGGTGAACATTAAACAGCTTCTCATTCCTGCCTTCCTCTATTTCAGGGCTGTGTTTGGCTCTGAGAGAGAAGAAAGAGAGAGCTCTAGCCTCCCCTCTCTTTTGCCTTTATTTATTGATTGTTTAATTTTTAACTTTTCTTCGTTTCCTTTACCTGGTTTTTCACTTCAATCGGCTCAGGTCGACGACATCGACTAGGCGTGAGCGTGAACTCTCGGCTTGGCTTAGCTAGCTCAAGCTCAATGTGAGAACGAGAAATTGAGAATACAGAGATTAAATTAATATTTTGCATTAAAAATAATTGCTGGAGGTGAGGTGAACGGTGAATGGAACCTGTCAGCCAGCTTTCCTCCAAATTGCACTGTACAATTAATAACAAAGGATTAATGTTGTCTGCATATTATCGAATTTACGTTCTCACCCTATTTACTAGGCCCAAATTACAGGGGAATGCATCCTAACTGTGAATTGATGTGGTTTATAGGGGGACAGGGCTAATTATAGGGGTTGGAATTCAGAATTCTGCATCGTGACCTAAAGTGGAATAGAGAAGGAAATTTTAGTAAAAAAAATGAATGGGGGAGGAAAATAAGAAAACGGGATTCAGTCGGTGTAAAGTCTGTTTAAACGGTCATTATAGCATTGGAAATATTTTTTCATCAAATAAAACACAAAAGTATGGATGTTCCTGATGTAAGATTATAAAGTCTGTTCGAATATCATTCGAACGGGCCTTATACTGACTGAATCCAAGGGCCAGCCATTGGAATGGAGAGTTTGGGAGGAGGGAATTTTACATAGAAAACTCTATTCCAAGTAGAGAATTCTGGACCATAGGGGGGAGGCATGGCTCCCTTGGGCCCCCTAGCTCCGCTCTTGTTCAGAATAACATCTTGCTTCACACTAGGACGTAATGGGTTAGATAAATGGTAAACCCGGTTCGAGTTAGATCAGGTATATTTAGGATTAAGGTCGGGTTAGGGTTTTGATTTTTTGTCCGAAGTCTAATTTGGGTTTTGACTGATCTGCACCCGGTTAGGTCATGATATTACTATATATAGGATATTCTTGTTATTTTTGACTTCTAATTCTATAGTCTTAAAGGTTAGCTTTTCATATTGATTTTAGTTTTTCTTCTTTATCTAATGAAAAAAATAATACCTTCAAAAACTTATAAAACAAATTCCAACTTAAATTAATGGTTTTTAGGTTTTCAAAAATGTTTTATAGGACATACAATTGAAAAGTTGTGAATTGGATTAGTGTCGAGTTGAACCCTAAAGGATTGAGTTAGGTCAAGTTGGGTCGGGTTAGGGTTGTGGTAAACCCATACCAAACATGACCTTTTGACTAAGGGTGCTCAAGGCAAACAAAAAATTGGAAAAACCAAACCAAAAAATTCAAATACTCAAACAATCGGTTTAGTGTTATTCAAAAACTGGTGGCATCGGATCAGTTTTGGTTAACCTAAAAGAAAAACCGATGGTTAATTAAATCGACTGGTATACATATATATCTATGTGTGTGTTATATTATATAAATTTATATGCATTATATATAAATATAAATATATATCATTTTTATAATTTTCTATTTATAATAAATTATATATTTGTAGTATTTATAATATAATATAGATATTAATAATATATTATAATATATATACATATTTATATTATATTGTAAATAAAAAATTGAGAACCCAAAGAACTGAATCGATCAAAAACTGAACCAATCAACCAGTTAGTTAACTGATTGATTTAGATCCAGTTTTGATTCACAAATTTTCAAAAATTGATGGTACCGGTTCACTTTCAAAAAAGAGTTATGGTTCGATTAACCGAATTGTGAGCACCATTACAAAGTGTTTGACATCCCTACTTACACCATCAGATTGGAATTTGTGTATATCTCATTTCATACCAATTCAATGGTTAAATGTCCCCCTTCATGTGGAACCTTTGTACGTTTGTAGTGGTGATAGATAGGCTGTGCTTGGTATAGATGATTCGAGTTGAGAAGGGAACACCACTGGTTAATTATGCGGTGTTCCTACTTGACTTTCTTGTTTAGCACGTATGTCTATAACACACTTAAGAATTTTGTTTCTTTAATGAGGAGGTTTGGTTTGAAACCAACTGATGGTGGCTCATTTGTTAAGTTTTTTGGCTGATTGTAGTAGAGATTTGGGGTCAGATCCCATTGTCACTAAGGCTGTATTTGGTTGTAGTGCAATTTTATTTATACTGGTATAAATATATGAGAATGCAAATGAAAAAAAATATAAAGTATAAAACCTTATATTTTATATATATTTATATTTATACTCTTTCCAAACTGAGCCTAAGGATAGGTTTTATGGGTACCCCCAATTATGTATGTTTTTATTTTTATTTTTTATATTTTTCACCGCATAATCATTAGAGGTGCAGGGGCAGAGCCAATATATTGGTGAGGTCCTCCCAAACTTTTTGTTAAAACCATAGAAAATTCCTGACTGCACCACTTATTAATGGGCTCGGACCCACATCTCAAAAATTTTAAATTTTATAGAAATTTCTATATCGTGTATCGAAGTATATCTGGGTACAGTAATAAAATGTATTGTATTGAAATTTAATCTTTGGCCCCATGAAAACACAACATAAAGGCTATTTGATAACTGCTGAAATGGCTGAATTTAATGGTTTTTTTTTTTTTTTTAATTTTTTCTGAAGCCCTTTATAAGCCACTTATTGCTTTGTCTTTTAGCGGTTTAAAAGATTAAATAATAAAATATTCGAAGTTGTAGCAACCAACCCAACCTCTGCTTCAGCCATTAAGGCTAGTAACTTTCTAAATAACCTGTTCACTAAAAGACATAACAACAAGTCATTCAGTTCAGTCTCTTCTGCTGCTATCAAATGGCCACCAAGACTGAAATAGGGCAAGAATTCACTAGATTTATTTCATCTGTTTTGCTGTATTGATTGTTTTTCCCATCTGATCAGACGCTGTTTTTTTTTTGGTATAGAATTGAAGTTTAATACTAATTTGCTTCTATTATTGAAGTAAACTAGATTTTGGTGAAAGCTGATATTGATTGCATCGCAAATTTGCAAGGGGTTTATCCAGGTAATTAAAATTATAACCAATATTATAGCAAAGAATGTTGGAATTACATCCATCAACATTGTTGAAATACCAGATTACCAGCCCCTCAAGAGTGTAATGAAATTGAGATTGAGGAGGATTCACAGATGATTATCAATTGCATATTCGAAATATCTCCTTTACATGCATTTGAAATCATAAGAAAATATCTCCTATGCATTCAAAGTGTGTAAAGTTTTTCCTAAGGCTGTGTTTTGTTGCAATGCAAATAAATTTCCACTGATACAAAACTATGGCAGATTTGAGTGAAAATTTTGACCTATTTTTGTTTAAGATTTCAGCTTATTTTGTTTGATTGAAGTATAAATAAAATAAATTAAGATATGAAACAGAATAAAATAAAATCCAAAACAAAATTAAATGAGAATTTACTTTTTTTTTTCATTTGCACTCCTATGCATTTATATTAATGCAAATAAAATTTCACTGCAAGCAAACACAGCCTTACAGAAAATCCCATTGCACCACCATAGGGATCATCGGTGTTGATCATTAGGAATGGGATCTGCTCCTCACACAAGGACGCCTCATATGCACATCCACCATGCATTGGCAACATCTCTCGTGAATAATAAGTTATAAGTATGGAAAATGTTTCCAATGCATGGCACAATGTGCATATGTGAGGCGCGAATAAGACGCCCTGAGTGAGGAGCAGATCCGGTCTCTGATCATTAAGGACATACAAGTATTATTTCATAGCAAGGAACGGACGATTAGTCTATGTCTTTCATGTACATCTACAGAGACGAAACAAAGAAAGTTTGGCTTGATCCTTATCAACATTGGGCATCACAGTTAGGGTTTTGAGGAAAACCCTCGTTTAAGCTGGTACCAGGTTCACAAGTAAAACCAATAACAAACCAACAATTTATCCACAATTTTCTACAGTCCCATAAAATTAAAAAAAATAATTCAAAGTGACATTAGAATAAAATATACATAGTTTGTTCATCATTTACAGAAGAACCATTCATTTTCCCTCAAGCTCAAGCCCTAGTAACAGTTCACCAAGCCCTAAGCTAAGGCAGATTATCCTCTAAACATGGACACAAGAGATTGAAAATTGGTTATAAGAGACTTCACGCATGGAATTAATAGCTAGACATGTGATATAAGGCTATGTCTGGTTTGAATTTCTTTTATTTTCTCTCACGAATGTGGGGTAGTGTTTTAAAAACCAACCCAGAGGCCGAACCATTTTTTCCTTCGGGTCATGGGTCATTGGTTCAATCATTTAAGTTGACCGTGCCACGTCAGCCATATGGAAATTCAAACATATGTAGATATGTATAAATATGTATTTTATCAATAAATAATGTACAATTATGTTTTACATGTAATATATGTATTCTTTTATATTTAATTTATGTTTTTTAATTTTGTTTTAAAATTTTTATTTGTAAAAAATATTAAAAATTGCAATTTGAGGCCAAAAAATGGGTTATTTGGCAAAATAACTAGGCAAGGCACCTACTGCCCCTTGGAACGGATAGATACCGAAAAGTTATCCAAAATAAAAAAAAAATCACCTTAGTCAGACATCGGAGTGCAAAGTTATGGTCTCCCAAAGTTTGTATACACAATTAGTATGTAACCCGCGACCCAATCACAAGGTCAACCAGATCAATGGTCCAACCATCCAGGTTAGATAGTTTTTGACCAAGCAAACAATTTTTTACCTTTCTCCGGGTTGTACTCAAACTGGACCCAAAATCTTGATCGGGTGACAATTCAAGTGGTTCAACCGGCCGGGTCAACAACGGGTTAAAAACAATGATGTGGGGTATTCATCTCAATTATGTATATATAATTGATAGAAGCTTTATGTAATAATAACAAGTGAGAAGGCATGTGCAATATTGATTGATAAAATGCCTGCCTTGTGTAGATTTTTCACGTACCCTCCCTTAAGTGCATTATATCCGCTTTATATAATAATAATAAT